GAATCCTCCTATCTCAGCGTTAGAAACATCTATCCTGGATGGGAAGAGCCCTGGGAGGTCATGCTGGAGGAAGGGGGGAGAGAGCAGGACAGCAAAAATTAGTCCAGTGAGGAGGCTTGATGTAGAGCAAGGGGGCTAACCAGGGAAAGCTAGAAAATAGGTCAAGCGAAGCTAAACAGAGGGAAACTGTTTTCTTTGGGAAAAATTCTGACCTAGTCTTTATCCATTTTCCTTCCCACTCCTTTTCTCCACATGAGATGTAAGGTTGAAAGACTGGAGAGGGAACTGGGGTGATGGAAGGTAGGTGATTGGAGAAAGAGATGTACATCGGGCAGAGCTCAGAGAAGGAAGGGTAAGTTTAAAGTCAGAATTGTCAGGGTCATTTGTCCCTCCAAAGACATAGATATCATCAATAGTAGATAGCCCAAGAGCTACAAATCTTGGGGCACAAGCAAGGGGACCTTAAAGTTGGGGGGGTAATTAGGTTTATTTAGTTTAATGGAGATTGAACCCAGGACCTTGTGCATGCTAAGCACGTGCTCTATTAATAAGCTATACCCACCTCCCCCGAAGAGGAGTGCATTGTAGCCAAGAAGCACACTACCCAGGGGCAGGAGTCCTAGGGCACCTATTTTCAAGGGAAATAGCTTCAAAGCAATCAAGCTAGAACGTGAAGGACTAGGGACACTTGCTGTCCTATAACTCAGCATCTGTCAGTGCTCCCATTACCAGGTGCTATTTCCAGAGTCCTGGGCCTAGTGGAGGAAAAGGGAGGGGCCCCAGGGGAGAGACTGACGGAGACCCGTTGGGTTCCTCTCCTAGTCCAGCTGCAGTTCCAGATTTTCGCCACTCGGGGGCTCCCGAGCTCAACCACAGTCCCAGAGTTAGGGAGCGGGGAGAGAGAGAACCTCCAGAGGACAGTTTGGGACGTCAGTGGTGACCCTGAACAGAGAGGTGACCTAGGGGTCATTTGCTCTGAAGAAGCAGACCCTGCGCATGGCCGTTGGGAAGACATCCAGCCTCAGCCCTTCTCTGTAGAAGAGACTCGTAGGTCTAGGAATTCGTTCTCCACCTCTTATCCTCGTCTCCGCGGTCATTTCCTCTCCTGCGCGTTTCCTTCCCCTCCCCCACCCTCGTGGTAGGAACACCACCATCCCCCACAGCCTGTCAGAGTCCTGAGGAATGTTCTCACCCTGGCTGGGTGCCAAGCTCTGGACTTCCTGGGCTTTGGGGTGGGGCTTGGCCAAGGGGAAGCCCTTTGGACAAGAGAGCCACCCAATCCTACATAGCCTGCGCGCGCGCGCGCTCTCTCTGTCTCTCTCTCTCTGTCTCTGTCTCTGTCTCTCTCTCCCTCCCTCCCTCCCTCCCTCTCTGTGTCTCCCTCTCTGTCTGTCTCTCTCTCTCTGCTAAGCAAAAGGCTCATCTATCATTCTCTGTCACCACCACATAATTTCCTCTCCCTACAATAGGATTTCCTTGCCAGGGCAAAACATCCACAATCTGGAGGTGGTGGGCATCCTAACACTGGTTTATAGTGGGGGGCGGGGGGACCTATTTTAGAACCTGCCTCCCTGTTTCAGAAGGCCTGTAAGCTGGAAGGAGAGGTTCAGCTGCCTCTCCTGAGGTAAAGGTTTTGTAAATGGTAATTCGGTCCTGGGGCTCCTTCTGGATCCTTCTCAGAACCGTTGGGTCTAATTAAGTACGTGAGTCTCTATCTGACTGCATATCTGACTACCTCTGCTCAGCCTCCGTGTTCCTGAAATAAGTCAGTTGAAATCTGAACTCACTGGTCTACATCAAGGCCAAGGAAATCTTCCCAGCTGGCTGTAGCCGACTGGGGTGGGTTCAGTGAGGATGGGTCAGTGGGCAGAAACTACACCCAAATCTACAGAGTAGAGACCAGGCCTGTCAGCGACCCCTGGCTCCTATCCAAGGGGTCACTGCTCAGAAATGTTTTTGCATTTGGGACTTGGAGGGTCTTCTGATATTGTCAACAAATGACAAAGTGAGAACTCAGTCCTGCGGCGCCCCCTACCTCGTGGTTCTCAGTGCAGCTTTTGCAGCCTGTCTCCCTGAAATCATCATCTGTAGATCTGTGCCAGATTCCCAAGTTCCTATCTTGAAACCTCAGCCCCCACGCCCAGGGCCTAGGGGAGAGCCGATGTAGGTCACTGCAGCTGAGCCTGCAGGGCTGTCTGCTCCTTGAGCCCAGAGCCTTTCAGGCACAGAGAGGAAACCTTGCAGAGAAGTGAGAGAAAGGAGCTCTATGAGAATCAGAGAAAAGCATATTCCTTAAAGAATGACGCATGGAGAGGCCAGGAGTCAGCTGGTCACACTTGAGACAGGGATGGGAGCTCTGTTTCTGAGAGGCTGCTTGTGATGGAGGAGGGAAGGCCAGAGGAGAAGGGCTGAACATGGCCCCATCCCTGACTTTCCCTCCCATGCCCCACCCTTGCCCTGTCTGCCTGTGTAAGGGAACCCTTCTGTTCTGGTGTCCTTCCCCCATTCTCCAGTCACTTTGCTTTCAAGGCTCAGATTTCATTCTCAGGAGCCTTTGTGATTTGCCTAAGAGATCCTCTGCTTCCTCTGGGTCTCAGGAAGCTAGAGAAGGCCAGGGTTGTCCCCACCCTCCCCCATTGAAAGACTCTTCCTGGTTGTTATCTGTTAAACTCATTTTGACCAGGGTACTTCCAACCCTCTGGGACCTCATTCCTTTTCTTGGCTTTCTCTACCTCGCTCCCCTGAGATCCCAAGGAGTGTGTGTTTGTATGTGTGCGCCTGGTGCTCACATTCTCTAGGTTTGTATGGGAAGTCAAGGACTTATGGCCATAACTAGCTTGGGAGCCCTATGGCCAGCAAAAATAGGCAAGGGGCCAATTTCTACCTCTAGCCTCAAAGCAGTTTAAGCCACAATTAGTTGTGGGTTTTTTTTTGTTTATTTGTTTGTTTTGTTTTTAATGGAGGTACTGGGGAATTGAACCCAGGACCTCATGCATGCTAAGCATGTGCTCTACCACTGAGCTCTACCCTCCCCCAATACAATCAGTTGTTCTTTAGGAGCCTCAGGATAAGGGGGGAAAGTAGGTAAGATGGAGAAAGGATATATAATCACCATCTTAGCCTTCTCTTCCCCTCATTCTCCCCCCAGTACCTTACCCTCCCTTTTCAAGTCTCAGCTCCTCATCCTCCCACTACTCATTTGCTCTTATTTCCAGAATCCTTGCACACAGTAGGCACTCAATAAATGCATTTTACACTAAGTCAGACTGCATCTGATTATGCTCTCTGGCTAAATTTTGAGATAAAGAAGCACAGAGGGAGAAGGTACACCTTCCCCAGATTCCCCTACAGGACTGATTGCTAGGGAACAAAAACCCAGAGTGGTCCTAGGACCTCACCATGAATCAGAAGCACCTTGCTTGTTGAAACTCACACTATGGGTCTCTACCTCCAGAGTTTCTGATTCAGTGAGCCTGAGAATTTGCATTTCTAACAGGTGCTCTGGTGATGCTGACCCCACCATTAATTCTGGGACCACCAGTGGGTCCTGAGAACCATTTCTTAGGGAATCCACAGCCCCTTACCCCTGTGCTCACCATGGGGACCTGGTTGGCTCCAGGTTTATATCGTTTAGGAGGAAGAAGCAGGTAAGAATGGGCAACACATGACTCCTGCTCAGCCCTCCACCTGTCATGTACAGGGATCCAAAGAAGACAGGGCAAGAGCAAGCAGAAGTTAGTCTCAGACTAGTTATCCATTCTGTCTCTTTCCATCGACTCCATCCTTATTGAAAGTCACTTCCCCAAAACATGTTTTGCAGCAGCAACGGAGCACTAGGAATTTCCTGTAGCGAGGCAGCGCCAGCGTGGGGAGGGGAGAGGCCGTGCTGAGCGAGCGCCTTCCCTTGGCTCGGGCAGGGCCACGTGCCCCACCCCCTCGCTTGCACATGTCTCCGCCGCCACCGCCGCCACAGCCGGCTGTTTATGAGCGAGTTGTTGTGGTAGAAATGGAGCAGGCTGCACATGCCCGGCCCATGTGACCCCAGCAGCCCGCGTGAGCCTCGAGCCGGCACAGACACACTGGGCCCTGTCCTCTACCGGCCAGAGAAACAGGAGGAAAGATGGGGAAGGAGTGGCAGGGCACTGGGCTCCCTTCACCCGTCTCCTGGCTCTTAATCCTGCTTCTTTCTCCTTCTGTCTATCCCAAGCCTCCAGAGGAACAAATACCCAGGAAAGAAACATGGTTCCCCCAGGCAGATTTTCCTCCCAGGCAGCCCCTTGGCATTTACACAAGCCAGAGCTCTAGGCCCCAAATAAACAAAGGATCTCCCCAAGCCACGAGCACAAAGTGCCCACTCCAGCCTCCAGCCAATGTGCTAATGGCCGCTGAGGGTCAAGACTCGGTTTCCCCGCAGCGTGGGCTCCCCCCCATATCAGGTTGCCTGGTCCCCTCTTTCTAGGAAGGAGAATGCCATACAGAGATGCCCATTCCAGGATTAGAACCAGGAGAGTTCAGGAACTTGTGGGGTCAGGGACAGGAAGCAAGGAATCTTCCTGCAGCAGTGGTCTGTGGGGTTAGTGGACAGGAAGGGGAAAACCCCTCTACCATAGGGAGGAGCTGAGGGGTGGGGGGTGGGGGGGGTGGGGTGAGAGCTGGAAAAACTTCACACTAACCCCATCCAGCTGGAGAACAAACTCTTCCATGCGCAAGACAAGCTCAGCCTCCATCCCTCATGGAAGTGTCCCCTCCCATCCGCCTGGCCCTCCCAGCCCCAGAGAGTCCTTTCTGCATTCTAGCCCCAGACCCCGGCTTCCAGCCCTCTGCTCCGGCCCCCCCGCCCGTGACCCTATTTGTAAGCAGCAGTGCCTTTTACTGGGATGTGAGACTGTGCTGGAGTCAGGCGGACAGTAGGTTAGCAGGAACAAGCAAATGAAATGAGCACGACCCACATTTCCTCACCACACCAAAACTTCGCAGATCCTGCATTGCAGAGCTAGCGCTTTTTTTTTTTTTTGATTCTCTGCTGGGCCCCTACACACGTCTGCAGTTTTGCAACCAGCACAGATTTTTTTTTTTTCAGGGTGCAAACTGCGCATTCTAATGAGCCAAAGCTCCTTCCTGCGGCATTGAAAATCTCTTTGGCAAATTGCTCGCCCCACCCCCACCCCCAATTTAGAGAAAGGGGAGGGATCCTAAATTTGTGAAGTCGCATCCTCTCTCTCTCCTTCCTCTGCCCCCCCTCCCCCAAGATACTGCAGTCTTTCCAGCCCAACTAACAGCTGCGGACCAGGGAAGAAGGATGGGAGGAGGGAAAATCAGCCTTGTTTCTTCTTTCCACTCAGACGGCACTGGTGGGGCGGGAGTCGCTTTTTGCTTCCTGGGCAGCCCCTTGCATCCCTTTTTCCCTCCCCATCCCAGCCACTGTTTATGTAAGCCTCCCAGAAGCTACACACAGCCCCTAATGCCTGCCCAGGTCACAGCTCCTCCAAGGTCCATCCTGCTCACGAGGACTGTCATGAGCCTCTGGCCTCCCCAGGCAGCTGCATGGAGACCTGCAGAGGCCCAAGGAGTGGGGAGATGCTGGTCAACAAGAGGGTTTGAGCTAGAGCTTGGGGTAAGGGGTGGAGATGGAGGCAGGCACACAGATCCCTGCCCTAAACACACACTCCCCATACACATTCCCCTGTGTTTCTGTCTTACAGAGGCTCAAGGACAGCCACTGGGTAGGTGTAGGGATCTGGAAGGTGACACTACCAGCGGGCTCCAGCAGCAAAGGTTGGACAGGATGGCCTTGGCATAGCATGTGCTGGATGCCACTGCCCCCTAACCCAGGAGGAGGAACCCCATGCCAGAAGGAGGGCAACCTGAGGCTTAGTCTCCCACTGCCAAGGGCAGTCCATGTCACCTCCCTGACCCTGTGATTTCTCTGGGATTCTGAGCTCTGAGAGGGGAGTCCTCCTTTGGCCTCCACAAAGCATCTGCTGAAGAAGCAACCCATGGTGGGTGGCTTTCAAGGGGCTGTTTTTAGAAGTGCACACCTCTCAAGCAGGTAAATGGGGAAGCAGGATGTTTGTTTCCTTAGGGCTATTTATACAACTTATACAACTTAGGGGTGGCCTTCCATACTGTCATTGAACCAATCAATTCCTTTTTAAAATGTGTATTTATTTATTTTTATTGGAGGAAGTTGAACCCAGGACCTCACACATGCTAAGCATACATTTTTACCACTGAGCTAAATCCCCTCCCCCAACCAATCCATTCTTGATACATCCCCTAGAAGAAAGCAACTTAAGGGGCTCAGACCTATGTGCCCTTCTCCCTTCATCACCAGCTACAGATCCCAAAGTCAGGGGGTCAGGCAGAGAAAAGAGTTCAGAGGCCTCCTTCAGTTACTCACCTCTGAGCAATCTTTGTGGAAGTTATTTATTTTTTGCACCCGATTCTGGCCCCCTTCTACCTAACCAGAAGAGGGGAATGTTGGAGGGAGAGAGGGAGAAGTTTAAGAGAGAAGAAATGTGGTTGAAGTAGGAGGTTCTGGGAAGCTAAGGTACTTGTGGGGACAGGAGCAAGGCTTCCCTTCTTGGTGACACATCTCACTTCCAGTCCCATCATTGCTTAGGAAACACCAGGATGAGCCTGTTGCTCAGACATTCCATCTAGCATGATCATTCTCTCCAGGAAGGGCAGTCCTGCTAGTGGAAAGAGTTTTATCCTCAGACCTGGGGTTGAATTCCCAACATTGCCATTTTCATTCTGCCATTGATAGCGGTAGTTCCAAGAGTTAGCTGGGGGAGCTTTAGCTCCTCCAAAAATGTCCATAAACTCCACCATTCTTGAATATGGCATCCTCTCAATCTTAAGCACTTCCCTTCAAATACAGCTTCAAGACAAACCGCCTAGTCTCTGGAGCACCCTGGGCCAGTTAATAAACATCTCCAAGTCTCAGATTCCCTATCTTTAAAATAAGAACAAGACCCATGGCATAGGGTTTTTGTGGCTATTCAGTGAAATAACATGTGTAACACACAGCCCAGTGCCTGGCATATAGTTGGTACTTAATACATATTTATTATTTCCTTTCGTTGGAAAAGGGAGTAGTGAGGTCAAGATAGAAACTGAGGCAAAACACATCCATCGAACCCAGCCCTGGATCATGCTTCATCCTCCCTTTTTCCATCTCTCCTTAAGAACAAATTAACTCAGACTTTGACCCTCCTGCTTTCATGCTCTTGAAATTCTCCCCCAAGAGGTCTAAGCTTTGGCTGGGTTAGGGAAAGCTGGCTGGCTTTTTAGACAACAGGAAAAGAATCTAGGAGGGCAGGGAATGAGTCTCTTCCAGGCACAGGGCTGCTTCCCTGAGTTTGGGGCATACCCAGGGCTTCTGATCTAGGTTAGCATCACCTGGGCAGGCAGGTTATTTCCCTGGGCCATGGTTCGCTTGGTGAGAAAGAAGAGGGAAAGGAAGGCACCTACTGAAGCCTGACCTGGTTTCCAGCAAAGACCCACCCCAGTCAGTCAGTCAGTCAAGCAGTCGGCCAACAATCTAGGCCACCCAGGATTTGCACAGGGTGTTGCCCTGTTACCTAGAACAACCTACTGACAAGGAGAATACATCTTGGATGAAACACACACAGCCACACACACTCCTAACATTCACACTAACACACTCACACATGCAGTCTCTCACTCACAGTCATACGATCACACACACACACTCTGGCCAGAGCTTAGAGCTCTTACACTCTCTTCCCTTCCTAGGTCTCTGCTGTCCTCCCCAAGAGAATTAAAGACATAGTTGGAAATGTATACACATACACAGGATCCCAGTCTGCCTATAAATGGTGAGGCTAGTTCCCAGAATCCCAGCCTCTGAGGAATTGGAGTGGAAGTGGAGGCAACATGGAACCAGAGTAGTGCTTTGCTGGGCCGGGTCTTAGATATGCATCCGTTCCCCATGCTTCCAATCTGAGCACTGTTTGTTAAAGGTCCACTTCCTTCTTGGGTTGAATTTGGCTATGGGGGATATAGTGTGTGTGTGTGTGTGTGTGTGTGTAGAACTGGAATGTCCAGCTGCTGCGGGTGGGGGGGCGGTGGGAGGCTGGGCTGAGATGCATCTGTTGTCTTAAGGTCAAGGTTGAGGTCAAAGAGCGGCCAAAGCTAGATTCTACTCCAGGTCCCCAAAGACCAAACAACCCACCCTTTTCTCCCTCCCTTTGGTGGCTCTGGGTCCCTGAGCCTCTGTCCTTCTCCCATTCTCCCAGCAGCTGCTGACAGAGAAAGGAGCAGGGTGAATAGATAGAAGCTTCTGGAGCCTAGGGAGAGTCCTGCTTCTTTATCATTCTGTAGCTTTCTCTCCAGTCATAGAAGGAAGATCCCAAAGTTACTTCTTTGTCAGGGAGAAAAGGAAGGGCCCCATAAGAAGTGCAGAGAAAGGAGGGAGCAGAAGTAACCCCCCTGCTCTGCCTCCTCCTCCCAGCCTCCGCCTTCATACCTCACACAGACTGCAAAACAACCCAGCTTCTTGCCAAGAGTTAGGCTGACTGCATTTCAGCTCTGCTGCCTCTGCTTCCTCCTCCCTCTCACAGGCTGTAAACTCAGGGAGGGAGGCTTGACCCCTGGCCCTCCCCCTACAGGGATAAACACCAGCTAGTCGAACAAGGGGTGGACAGGGTCACCACCACAGCAGCAAACAGAGCCCTAGTTGCCAAACAGGGCAACTAAAGGGAGTGTGCCCGTGGGGGTGCTGGGGCTGGTGGGGAGCTAGAGGTCATGCCAAGGTCCTTGATTTTAAGTCTAGCCCTGGCAGGTCCCTGGGTGCTGGCCCTGGCTCTGATGGAGAATCTGGAAGGGCGCAGAGAGCAGCGCTGGACATGGTGGCTCGCCTCCCAGCTTTCCCTCCAGCGGGAGGAGGGAGAGGGGGTGGAGGGAGGAGTGAGGAGTGAGAGGGGGTGGAGGCCAACTTCAGAACCAAGTTTTCCTGAAAAGCCTTTTTCCTTGTTTGTCCTAGCCCCTCCCAGGCCCTCCCATGCTCTGTGGCAGCTTCCCAGCTCTGGGCCAGAGGGCCAGGGCAGGCCAGGGACGAGCCCACTGTCCTGTCTCTCCTACTTTTCTTGGGGGCAAGGGAACAAAGCAAAATCCCAGGCCATTCTAGGGAGCTGCCTTCCCTTGGCAGTCAGAGGGTCAGTGAGTGGTCAGGCCACCTGTTCCAGTCCCCCCCCACCCGCTTCGGTCACCCTCACAGCCCTCTCAGCTTACTTACTCCCTCACTTACCCAGCTTACTCCTTCCTTCAAGTCCATACCCATCCTTTCCTCTACCTCTTTGATGGCTGTTGTGTTTCCAGGCATCCATCAATGCGGTCCCAGGAGCTGTCTGTGAACAAGTGGAGAAGGGCTTCCTGTATGAAAACCAAAAACCAAAACAAACAAGCAAACCAACCAACCAACCAACCCCCTCCCTAGAAGCAGTGGGACTGAGGAGGAATTAGCAGGTGGTCCAGGTTCATTTGGCTGCTTAAAGAAGAGTCTCCCCTTTCTCCCTGCAACCCAAGTCCTCAAACAGGATAGACCTCTGCTGGAGGCCCCATTTTCACAAATGGGGCAGTTGTTCCTCTGAAGGGAAATGCTGGCTGTTTCTAGCCCCAGTTCAGTGTTTTATTTTTGTATCAGCCCACCTCCCTGATGGTGGGCAAATGAAACCAGCAAGGGATGTCTGACCTTGGGCCAATCACTTCTGCTAAGCCTCATTTCCCTCATCAGTAAAGGAGGGGCAGTTAAGATGGTCTTTGTGTTCTCTTCTCTGGAATCCACGCTACCCTTAAGCACTGGAGGGGGCGGGGCGGGGGTGTTATTCTGCCTCCAGGCCCCTGCCTTACCTCTGGCCCCTTTACTTTAGAACCTCAAAGCACTTTCACCACAAAGTTCCCCTCCCTGGTCCTTTTTATTTCCTAGACAAAGGGAAATGACTCACCCCAAAGCCACTTCGAGTGGGTGGGATGGTGTCATACAAGCAAACAGGGAGTCCCCAGGGACATCTTCACCCCCATGGTAACTCCTTTTCCTAAAGGTGTTCTCCCTAAAGGGGACCAGAAAAGAAAAGGGGCCACATTTCCTTTCTGTCTCAGGACTTGGTGCTGCTGCAGAAGTTCAGCTTAAGCTCCTGACGGTGGGGATATCTCCCTCTCCTACTTGTCATCTCTCTCAAGTCACTAGTAACCTCAAGGCAGGTCGGTCAGTCGTGCAATCACGTGAAGCCCTCACGTTTTCAAGGTTTGCAGAAAGGGGCTGTTAGTTTTGATTTCCCAGGGATAAGCCAAGCTTGCCAGTTCCTCCCCGGGAATTCACATGCCTCTGCCATACAGGCTTTCCAAACGCGCCACCCTGACTCTTTAGCGCACCCCACCCCACATGGCGCTCAGCTCCACCCCGGCCCCAGCCACAGCTTTTGCAAGGCGGAAAAGGGGAAATATTCGCAGTCCGCCCACTTTGCCGGCGGACTACATATCCCGACAGCCTTGGCTTTACGCAGGCGCACGGAGCTCAACGTGCCTGCTGCTGGAAAAGTGTGTCACTGGGGCACGAGGCGCTCCCTGGGATCACATGGTACCTGCTCCAGTGCCGCGTGCGGCCCGGGAACCCTGGGTTGCTGGCGCCTGCGCAGAGCCCTCTGTCCCAGGGAAAAAGGCTGGGGCAAAAGGCGGCTGAGACTGGCAGAGTGAAATATTGCCGCCGAGGGAACGTAGCAGGGCACACGTCTCGCTTCTTTGCGCCTGGGTGCCCCGTTTCTCCCCATCACCTACTTACTTCCTGACTGCAACCTCTCTCCCTCTGGGACTTGTGCACCGGGAGCTCCAGATTCGCTACCCTGCAGCGCTGCGGAGCCGTCAGGCTGTGGCACCCCGCGCACTGCAGAGAACCGACCCTCCGTGCTACCTTCTAGCCAGAACTACTGCAGGCTGATTCCCCCCGCCCCCTTCCCCCACAGTCTCTCTGCTCTTCCCATGCAAAGCAGACCTCCGTTGCCTCAGCGTCCTACCCTTCTGCAGGGCTGCAGTCCCGCCACCCCAAGACCTTGCTGCAGGGTGCCTCGGATCCTGATCGTGAGCCGCAGGGTCCACTCCCCGCCCTCGGCCAGTGCCCAGGGGGCGACAGGGGCAATTGTAACCTCCAGTTTGTGTCAAGGTCCAGTTTGAATGACCGCTGTCAGCCGGTGAAGACATGACGACCCTGGACTCCAACAACAACACAGGTACTAAGCTTCCTTTGCTATCATCATTCTTTTTCTGTCACTGTCTCCTCTCCTCCATCTAAGCCTTAGAACAAGAGGAACTTTGTAAGGGACTGGGGACTCCCTCGGCCTGAGGATTTGCTAGCGTGCTGGGGGCCATGGGCTGGGATTTCCAGAGCGGATTGTTCACCCTGGGAATACGCCCGGAGGCACCCCCGCGACACCCCTCAGAGTCCCAGAGCTCCCTGTAGCCTGAGGGACCCGAATCTCGGGGAAGGAGGAAATGAAAAGCGGGTACATGTGGTGAGATAAACAGTTTAGAGGAACTGGGAGCTTTGGAGCAGTGCCCCGAAACGCCCCATCTTGTCCACCCCCTGCAGCTGTGGCATGCCTGGACTTCTCGGAAGGAGGACCCCCTCCTTCTTTTTCCCTTAGTTCCTGCAGGCTCGGGGGAACTTGAGAAGCAGTGGAGCGATCTGGGTTCCAGGCAGGAGGGGCTGGGGGAATGGGTCGGATCTCACTGGGAAATCCTCAGTGACTGTAGGGAGCGGCACAAAAGGAGCCCCGAGAGTGGTGCTCTGCCCTAGGGAGGACACCCAGAGCGTCCAGGCGGCCGGGAGCGCTCACATGGCTGCAGAGCCGGGCCCACGTGCTGCGTTTGTTTTCATTCAGCAGAAGCCGTGGCCGCCACCCCATTGGTGGTTGCCTCCCGGCCCCGTTACATAATGAGCTCCGCCCCCGGTTGCCCTGGCAACGCGTGTTCCTTTCTCTCCTCCCCTCAGTAGTCCCGGCCCAGCTGGCGTTCGGCACTCTGCCGGAGACTCGGACCTCGGACTCCGAGGAGGGGAGGGACGGGGGCGGAGCTGCTGCTCTCGATTGACGGCAAGCGGAGAGGGCGGGGCCTCGGGTTCTGGGGTTCCTCGTTGGGGAGCCACGTGCAAGAGGCACACGTGGAGCTGGGACGTGAGGCCGGCTGAGGGCCCGGCTCCCGCCCCGCCCTGCCAAGATCTGGGTGAAGCTGGGCTGACTCACCGCCCCCGCCTGCCTCTTTTTCCTGTCCGCCTGGCTCCGGGGCCCCCCCTTCCCCATAACCGATGCAGAGTTATATGGAGCCATCCCTGACCTCTCGTGGCCTCATGTTTACACTCCTCAAAGGGACCTCACATCTAGTCACTCTTCTCATTCCTTTCCTCTTTATTCTCTTTGCACCCACCTCACTGACCTGCCTTTAGACTCAGCTTCCCCATATTACAGATTCTTTCTGTTCCCCAAGCATCTTAGTTCTGCAAACACTGTCTTACCTGTACCCTGACCAAACAAGAAGCAGTTTGCCTCCTAAGGACTTCCCCCAAAATAATAGCTGAAAAGAGATCGTCTCTTTCATCTTTTTCTTTTTTTTCCCCCTAACAGAAAAGAAAACAGACCCAGAGAAGGGAGTTGATTTCCTCTAGGTCACAAATCAAGTTGGTGGTGATAGCTGCAGAACTAAAACTAGACTCTTTTGAGTGTACCCCTCACTTCGAGGTTGGAAGTCTCTTTGGATGAAAGTCTTAACTCCCTTTTTGGGGATGGCTGAACTAGGTCAGATTCATTTACCACCAAATAAATATCCCATCCCCCCACCTCAGCCCTGAAACTGTAGGAGCTGATCTGTTGTGCAACTATTTTACAGGGAACTAGGTTCACCCTGACCAACCTTGAGCTATTTTAGGGTTGCCCTGCCCAGCTTAGTGTGTGTCAGTGGGTGAGCAAGACATGTGCCTCTGTAGACACGTAGAATGGACTGTGTCAGCTCACACGTGTCCTGGGATCCTCCCTTCTCCCACCCAATCCATGGCAGGCTGAGCTAGGTATTTGGCAAAGGTGTGGCAGGCAGGTCACCTTTTTCTCCTGCTAATGCAATGGGAGCACGGGTACCTGGTTGGCAATATAACTAGAGGGCCAAAGTCCCTGAATAGCCAGAGAACCAAGGTCGTTGTCACCAGGCTGAGCGATCTGGAAGGGGGAATTCCAAAGCCTTCGGCTGGACAGTTTGTCCTTCACTTCCACCTCCGGCAACTTGCACTAAGTCCTTCCTGGATTCAGAGATAGAGTCCTCTCTGACTCTCGATCTTGGAGGACAGGGGAACAGGTTCAGTACCTTCCGAGAATATGTCTTCCAGTTTTGAGGGGTTGCGACTGTCTTACTCTTGTAAGACCTCCACTCTCCTCTCCTCACTGTTGGCCAGCTGCTCCTCCATGGTCTCATCCCTGGAATGGTCTTGGTGTTAAAATCGGCAGCTGTTTTTTTTGAAGCCTGGGCATTATGAATGGTTTTCAGCTGCTCATCCCATCCCCAGGTCAGCTGCTGACAATTAAATCATTATCTGCATTTGATATTCTAAAGGAAGACATCCAGGGACCGGGGATGGGGGAGTGGAGGGCAGGCAGGGGCTGTACAAATGTGAGAACTCAGAACATCACAGGGGTCATGCCTCTTGGGAGGTACCTCACACCCAAAGCAGCACCGAATGTACCTGCCAAGAGTTGCAGGGGTTGGTTGGCCATGTCTGGTATGTGCTGGGACATTGCTTATTGTGGCTCTTCCAGGGACTCCAAGATTAGGGGTTCCACGTGGTTAACTTCTGAATGTCCAACAGTGTTTTGGGGAGGCAGGTGGGGGATGAGCAGAGTGGTGCCCTAGGACCATATATGGCCCTTGACACCCCTTTCCTTTTTATTCTCCTGCCAGGTGGCGTCATCACCTACATTGGCTCCAGTGGCTCCTCCCCAAGCCGCACCAGCCCTGAGTCCCTCTACAGTGATAGCTCGAATGGCAGCTTCCAGTCCCTGAACCAAGGCTGCCCCACCTACTTCCCACCATCACCCACTGGCTCCCTCACCCAGGACCCAGCTCGCTCCTTTGGGAGCATTCCATCCAGCTTGGGTGACGATGGTTCCCCTTCATCTTCATCTTCCTCCTCCTCATCCTCCTCTTCCTCCTTCTATAATGGGAGCCCCCCAGGGGGTCTACAAGTGGCCCTGGAAGACAGCAACCGAGTGTCCCCCAGCAAGAGCACCGGCAACATCACCAGTGAGTAAATTTCCAGCCAATTTTGGGGAAGGGAAGGTGTCCAGGCCTAGGTGGGGAGTTGATGTTCACGTGACACAGTTACTCCCAGGGCCTGGCCTCAGGGATCTCTCCTAGAGTTTCACCAGCTGCTGTCAGCCCAGTCTGGTCATTCAAGTGCCCCCTAGATTCAGCTTTACCCCATCCCAATCTCCAGCCCAGAAAACCTCCACCTCTCTGGCCACTCAGATACCCCTCCTGTTCACCTGCTGCCCCGTCTCTTCCCACAGAGCTGAATGGCATGGTGCTACTGTGTAAAGTGTGTGGGGACGTCGCTTCGGGTTTCCACTACGGCGTGCATGCCTGTGAGGGCTGCAAGGTGAGGCGGGGTGGGGTCAGGGCAGGGACCACAGGACACATAGGCCTGGCCGGGACGGAGATGCTCACTAGCTGCCCCTGCTCGACAGGGCTTTTTCCGTCGGAGCATCCAGCAGAACATCCAATACAAAAGGTGTCTGAAAAACGAGAACTGCTCCATCGTCCGCATCAATCGCAACCGCTGCCAGCAGTGTCGCTTCAAGAAGTGTCTCTCCGTGGGCATGTCTCGAGATGGTGAGGCAGTGCGGTTGCCCCATGAGCATCCCCGCGCCCACCCCTTCTGCCACTTAAGTTTCTGAATTAATCCCGCCCTTAAAAAGTCCCAATACCATGCATCTCATTTGCATAGGGAATGCCCGGATTTCATCCTTTTGGGTAAACACATGCTTCTTTCCCATTAGTCCCTCCGGTCACCAATTCCTA